AGGTTCCAATTGGAACATTGTTAAACATTGAACAGACATGAATTATGAATTGGTTATGTGTGTGTCTCTGTGTCTGGTATGTTTGAATCATGTTTGAATTCATTTTTTCAAAATCCGGATTTCTGCTTTTCAAAAAAAAAAAAAAAAAAACATTTCAAAATTGATCACGTTTAAGATGAATTTTTCAACAACAAAAAAAAAAGACTTTTTGATTCCAAAAGAAAATAGGTGTCGAAAGCAAACAAATGGTGTTTGAAGATAAGTTTTTTTTTTATTTTGTTTGAAAATAAAACTTTTTTAAAAAAAGAAAAATAAACAATTTCTTTTTCGGGTGATGATTCTGTTTATATTCTATTTTCGTTGGTTAATATAAACAAAATCTGTACGTTCTTGCTCTTTCTTTAAAAAATGATAAATCTTTCTTTTGACTGAAGAAAAACTTTAACTAGATTGACTTATAATTTGTGATTGATTGATTGATTGACAACATGAATATTTTCTATTAACATTTTTGTTTTGAAAATCAAAAGTTATATAATAGTTATGCTGGTAGTAAATCAAATATTACACGTAGTTAACTACTACGATTTTACGACGACGATACGACAAAGGTTTGCTACTTTTTACATTTCATCCATTTCAAAAGAAAAAGAAGAATCATAACGTCATCAAATGAAAGAATATTTTCCCTTTTTAATTTTGTTTTTTGGTTGTATTCATTTGATTGCATCCATTTTAGACAATTTTTTTTGTTTTGTTTGATTGAAACAAAAGAATTCTCTTCTTTTGTTCGTCCAAACAAACAAACAAAAAACAAGAGAAAACCTAAATGTGCAACCAGCAACAACCAAACAGCGAAGAAAAGTCTATTTTTTAAATTGATGTATCGATTAGTCGCTGGGTGTTTCTTTTTATCTCTGTTTGTTTGTTTGGAAGCCTAACAACAACAATCTAATTGAATTGATTTTGTTTTTTCAGAGTTTTGCGAAACACTATTCAATGTTTTGCCAAAAGAATTTTTCTCTGGTTCGAGATAAAAATGTTTTCTTTTTTTGAAAACAAAATTCATTTTCGATTTCGATTTTTTCAATGAAAAAAAAAGAATCCATATCAAGTTTGTTTCGCTTCGTTTTTTCAAAAGCATCCCCATTTGACTGAAAAGAATTTTTTGAAAAACAGTTTTGATAGCTTGCATCATCATCATCATTTTTTTCATATTTTCCCCCTCCTCCACTAATGTTGGCGCCATCATCATCATTTATCACATGATGACTGCCATTCGAATTTGAATGTTTTTCTCTTTTTCTTTCTTTCAATTCGAATCGATATCGTTTTTCAATGAATTTTCAACATATAAGAAAAAAAATGAACAACCATTATCCTGACTTCATGAATCGAAGAAGGGGGGTGGATTGAAAACCTGAGGCCATTTTTCTTTCTTCAGTCAGCCTTGTTAAATGATCATCATCATTTCGGCAATGTTTTGGCTGTTGTTGTCCATCGTTTTTTTTAGTAGAAAAGTGGACTTTTCGTTTGCTGCTGCTGTCAACATTTTGATCAGATTTTGAAAAGTTTAATCATTTGACGACGATGACGACGACGACTGAATTGGTTAATGGCCATAACGATGATGATGATGATGAAAATGATTTTCATTTTCATTTCAAATATCCAAACCTTTTATTACCCCAAAAAAACACGATGATGATGATGATGATAATGATGGATCACACATATATAGAGTTTGGTAATAAAAAATGAAAAAATTTTGTTGTTTTTTATGGCCACCATTATCGTTTGGTCATCATCATCATCATTTTAATTTGAACTTTTTTTTTGTTGTCCATTGTAAAGAATTTTTTCCGGAATTTGAAAATAGTTTCCAAGGAATACATTTTCCTGATCAAAATTGGAATTTTTTTATGGAAAGAATTTTTGTTGTTTGTTTTTTTTTCGTCGAATCATCATCAACAACAGCAACAGAATTATCCATTTCAATTAATCCTTCCCTCCTTTCGCCCCCCCTTATTCAACATTGTGATAAGAATATTGATGCATTGAGGGTGGAAGGGAAAAAATGATGCCGATATTGACTCTGATTGATTGATTGACCCAATATTGGTTGGTGGGATGCTAAGTTTCAAAATTATGACCACTGGTCATCAATAATTATGAATTTAGTCTGGCCAGAAATTGGAAAGAAAAAAAAGACCATTGAATTCGATTGACAAATAAATAAATAATCATCATTGGGGGAAAAGAGAGTGGTGGTGTTTCCCCCCTTTGAATGCAAAAAAATATGAATAAATAAATATTCTGTTGGAGTGACAAACAAACAAACAACCATCTGCCTGTAAAGAATATTCTGACTGCTTGCTTGCCTGTCTTTTTTTACACACAAAATCTTTATTTATGTATTTTTTTTTGGGATATCCGATTCCATATTCCAGAATCCTCAAATACTCTCATCATGGTGATATTGTTGTTGTTGAAAAAAAATGTCTTTTCCATATGTGTTGTTGATTGGTCGGTTGAATGGGATGGTATTTGCAAAATGTCAAATCGAAAGAATACCAAAAAAAAAATTCTACAAATAATGAAAAAGAATATTCTACAAACAAACAACCAAACAAATATGAAAGAATTTTTGGGCTCTCTCCTATGATGATCATGGTTATCATTTTCATATTCAAACAAATAGAGAATATTCTTTCTTTTCATTTCTATTCTATTTATTCAAAGAAATCATCATATCAATTTTTTGTTTGATATCTTTTTTTCATCTTTCACAATAATAATCATGACAACAGACACGCAATGATGCATTTTTTTGTTTGTTTGTTTGTTGTTTAGGCATCCTATTGTGTGAAACAAACAAACAAAGCAGATTTTATTGTTTTTTTTTTCTTTTGAAACCTGATACGCGTTTTGCATTTTGAGAAATTAATCAATTTTTTTTCTCGTTTGTTTTCTTATTTAGATTTTGAATTACTTTTCCATGAAAAATTGGTTACGAATTTTGGTTCTCGCCTGATTGATTGATTGATTGATTGGTTTTTTTATGTTGATTACGACGACGACGACGGCAACTAAATGATGAAAAATATTCAAAGATGACGTTCAAAATAATCTCAAAAACGATAATAGAATGAATCTCTTTTTCAACATAACATTATTATTACATAATGATACAGATGATCAATATGGATAAATCAATAATGATAATGATGATGATAATAATAAAATATCATATTAAAATGGCTGTTATTGATAATAATCAACAACCATCAATAATTTATAATAAAAATAAAAATATAGATAATCTACTAATAAATCAACAACTATGATGACTATGAACGCTGATCAAGAAAATCGTGTTATATTAAATGTTGGCGGTATCCGACATGAAACATATAAAGCAACATTGAAAAAAATACCGGCAACACGTTTATCACGTTTAACTGAAGCATTAGCTAATTATGATCCAATATTGGATGAATATTTTTTTGATCGTCATCCAGGTGTTTTTGGTCAAATATTGAATTATTATCGTACAGGAAAATTACATTATCCAACCGATGTATGTGGACCATTGTTTGAAGAAGAATTAGAATTTTGGGGTTTAGATTCAAATCAAGTTGAACCTTGTTGTTGGAAAACATATACACAACATCGTGATACACAGGAAACATTAGCCGTATTAGATCGTTTAGATTTGGATACAGAAAAACCAAGTGATGAAGAAATTGCTAGAAAATTCGGTATGGAAGAAGATTATTTAAATGGTACATTATCATGGTGGCAACGTTTAAAACCAAAATTATGGTCATTAACTGATGAACCATATTCATCCAATGCAGCAAAAGTTGTTGGATTATTATCAGTATTTTTTATTTGTGTATCGATTGTATCGTTTTGTTTGAAAACACATCCAAATATGCGTGTACCATCAATACGAAACATAACTGTGATGACAACTAATTCAACTAAAGCATGGGTTTTGGATAAAAATCAAACTAATCCACATCAGGCATTTTTCTATATTGAATGTGTTTGTAATGCATGGTTTACAATGGAAATTATAACAAGATTTACTTGTTCACCAAGTAAAGTTGAATTTCTTAAAGGTAATGTTTTTTTTTGTCAATTTGAATTATAATGATTTTAATTTTTTTTTCCATTTACAGGTGCAGTGAATGTGATAGATATAACGGCAACATTATCATTCTATATTGATCTTACATTGCAAAGAATTTATACACAATTAGAGAATGCTGATATATTAGAATTTTTATCGATAATAAGGATAATGCGTTTATTTAAATTAACACGTCATTCAGCTGGTCTGAAAATACTCATACAAACATTTAAAGCCAGTGCCCGTGAATTAATATTATTGGTATTTTTTCTAATACTTGGTATTGTGATATTTGCTAGTCTTGTTTATTATGCTGAACGTATTCAATCAAATCCAGAAAATGATTTCAATTCAATACCATTAGGTTTATGGTGGGCATTAGTAACAATGACTACTGTTGGTTATGGTATGTTTTTTTCTGTTGTTGGAAATTTTAAATGAATTCTTTGCTAGATAAAATTGCTGAATAATGTTTTCTTTTGTCGTTTGAATGAAAATAGGAGATATGGCACCGAAAACTTATGCCGGAATGTTTGTCGGTGCATTATGTGCATTGGCCGGTGTATTAACTATAGCATTACCTGTGCCTGTTATTGTTTCAAATTTTGCAATGTTTTATTCACATACACAAGCACGTGCAAAATTACCTAAAAAACGTCGTCGTGTATTACAATTTGAACAGCCACGTGTATTACGTGCACCAATGCGTTTACCACAAGGTCCTGGATCAACAAGAGGTATTACCGGTAGTGGTACAGGTGGTGGTGGTAATAGTAGCCTTATAAGAGGTTCCGGTGTTAATAAAACTATCGGTATTGGTAGCAGTCAACCAGGTAGTTTAATTAATCGTTCAACAATTAACAGTGGTACTGGATCAATAAATTCACAAAGTAGTTTAACAAATCCAAATCAAACATCTACAATGAATACAATAAAAAATAATTCAAAAAAATTTGATACAAATCAATCAACAACAACAACAACATCCGCTGCTAAAATCACAAGCAAACAACGTAATCGTATGAGTATTACATCCGTATCAGATCAACAACAACAACAATCATCATCAAAGAATATAAATACAAATTGTTCTCAGGTTAATAATGATGATCAACAACAACAACAACAAATATCAATGAACATAATAGGCCAACAATCTAATATGAATAATTGTATGTTGTCCAAATTGTCTTCGGTGCCTTCTTCCAACAAATTAGATGATAGATCCATTATTGTTAATAATAATCAACAAACAACAATAGCAACAACAACGAATGAAATTTTGAATCAAAATCAAAATAATTCGATTGATTGTTGTATGAATAATTGCTCAATGTCGGAGCCAATATGGACAACATCGATTAGTAGTAATTTACATAATAATAATAATAATGATAATGACAAGGATAATATATTATCATCATCATCATTAATGACCAATGCAGTGATTACCACCACAAATTCAAAGGTTCAACATGGTACAAATAATCATCATCATCATCATCATAATTGTCATCATCATCCACAAAATCGTCATCATTCACTGCCCATCCCATATGCTCATTCAATACAGAATAATCATTCAATTCCTAATCATTATTCAAATATTAACAATAATGATAATAATGTTGATGATTATTATTATTATTGTAAACAACGAAGTCCAAGTAAGTCAAAGTTTTAGTTTGATTATTATTTTTGTTAACAGAAATTCTTTTTTTTCGAAAGGTGTCATACAAAAAACATCCGTAAATAATCATTTATTGAATGCATTATGTGAACAATGTAGTCGATGGCAAAATGAACAACAACAACAACAACAATCACAAAAAACAATATTAATGACAATGCCAATGATCGATGATTCAGATAATGATGAAATGAATAGTCATTCGGAACAAATATTAAATTTTGATCGAAAATTATCATTGAATAATCATCAATCGAATTTAACATTAAATAATAATGATGATGATGATGAACAAAGACGACCATCTGAACATAACAACATCAATAATGATGATGATGATGAGATTCTAATCGAAAAAACTACGAAACAACGATCATCATCACAAACAACGATTAAAGTTTCCAATTGATTCTGGACGGCCGAGGGTGACCGAAAAACAAAAACAAACAAACAAACTGACCAATTTTCATTTTCAGAGAACTGATTATACGCACATACGAAAAAATCAATCAAATCTGCCAAATAAAAATCAAATCTGTATTTGTGTAATTAGAAAGGTACGCCTATCACCCACCATCTACCACCATACACAACGTGGGCAAAAAAATCTCCATTACATCTTTATAATTATTTGACAAATTTAATAAAATTCACTATTGCCATATACCCCCATCTCCAATATCACACCTACCCCACCAACCACACTGAACTGATGAACAAATCCTTGTATTTTCGTTTTCTCCACACACACCTTTTCCCATTCCCCCTTTTGTTGTTGTTGCTGTTGAATTATATATTCTTTATTGTTAATGAAAACAAAATGAAAAAGAAAATTGATGTTTAATTTGAATAAATAAAAAACAAATGAAATCTTTATAAAAATCTTGTAAAAAACCGAAAATTAAAAAATAATAATTATAAAAAAAATTGTTGCGAATTGTTAAAATCATGATTGGCTTGTTGAATGATAATATTGAAAATGATTTTTGATTTCTGGTTCTTGTTGTTGATTTTGTTCAGAATTGGTGGGTAAATTTTGATGATTATGTTGTTGACAAATATCAATATTATCATTGGATTTTATTTTCGGAAAAATAATTATAAATATTATGGCAATAAGTATAAGAATTATGCCAACAACCATATAAAGTATTGATAGAAATGAATTTTTTCCACCCATCCATGACATATTTGATATGATAACTTTTTTCGATATACGTAAATGATCGGTTACAGTTTGATAATCTGAAATGATTCAAATTTAAATTAATGAGAAGAAAGAACAAACAAACAAACTAACTAACCATAATTAATTAATAATTGATATGATCCTTTTGGAAGTTGATCAATATTATTATTATTATTCAATGATCGACAATCAATACGTCCCCATAATTTACGAAATATTGGAAATGCAGCTGGACGCATCCAAACCATAAAATGTTCATTAATATAACCAAAACCGGCCTCATTTTGTTTATTCAATATAGTATCATCATAAAGATTTTGAGACCAATTTATTGGTTTTGCATATGATTGAAAATTATCATCGGATGGATTTTGATAAAGATTTTGACGATCAGTTGGCCAACTAATATCTTTTTCCCATATATGTATCTTTTCTGGTTGATCATTATGATTGTTTTGAACAATACGACGTAATTGAAATGTATCGGAAAACATTGAATTAGCAATAGCACCACAGGGAGCTATTATTTTACCATCAATATCCGAATATGGATAACAATCTGATCGAATTTGTTCTAATGAACGTTTTTCACCCATTAATTGTCGTCGATCAATTGATGCAACATAACGACGATGATTTTGATAAAAACCATTCAATGAATAATATAAAAATAATGGTCCATCAATCGATTCGGTTATGGTAAAATTTAATAAACATTCACAATTTTCCCATTTAAATTTCCAACGATCACGACAATATTCACATTGATTTATATTTGTAATTGGATTTATACGATGACAATCCGTATAATCGATAATAATTTCCTGTATCTATGTTGTTGTTGAAAAAATAAGAAATTTTTTGTAAAAAAAGCAATTTTCATTACATTACCTTTTGATTTGAAATAAACATTACAACACCGATAACAATACAAAAAAGACCAAACAAAATGAATGATATTAAAACTGATGTTGGTTTTAATATTGGTTGCCATGCTGGTAATCGTTGCTGTTTCCAGCGGCTATCTTTTGGAAAAAAAAAATGAAAAAAATGAACAAAATTTTCACATTTTTTTTCAATCAAAACTTACTTGGTGGTCGATTTGTTTTTATTCGATTATTGTTATTGTAGTTGATCATTTTACCATCAACATTATCTTCTATGATGAATGTTTCATCAAATGATCGTTGTTGTTGTTTTCGTTTATCATTATTATGATTATGATTATCATCATCATCATTATAATCATCGATTGTTGAATCAAATCTTTTTTGATATGTTCGTACAATTTCGCTTGTACTACGATTTACTAATGGTAAATGTTTTTTTATTTTTCGTTGATTTGTTGTTGTTGATGCTGTTGATGTTGATGGTTGACCATGATCATCATTATCATTTGCCATTTTTTTGTGACTGACTGATTGGTCAAAAGCAAAACAAAAAACAAAAACTTTAATATTTTGTTGTCGCTTTCTTCATACAAACTCGATTGCCACTATAGTAAAAAGCAACAACATTGCATATGAAATCATACATTTGATGATAACAGTGATTTTATTTTTTCCTTTTGGATATAAAGACGATGATGATGTTTGTTTTGTTTTTTTTGCTTTGTCCCACCATTAATCACCAATATCCATAGTAGCATATCAGTTAAATAAAGTGTTTGGTAATATCCAAACAAATCAAAATTTCTGTTTGATATAATTATCATCAACCAATCCATATCACCAACCAACCAACCATTTATATTAATATAAATGGTTGGTGATAGAAAAAAAACATTGCATTAAAAATATCAATCATCATCATTATGGCAACCAATTTTTTTGGGGGGAGGGAAGAGAAAAATTTGTTATATTTCATCAAACAAACAACAACAACAACAAAAATTGATTGATTTTTTTTTCTTGTCAGCAACGATTTAATAAAAAATAATAATATATTACTAATTATCGATTCAAAAAAAAAATTATTATTATTATTATTGATTGATTGATTATCGATTATCAATTTAATCAAATCAAAATGAGAAAAAAAATGAAAGAATTTAAAACGATTATTTATCATAATAATATGGATTGATTGATTGATTTGTAGGGTAAAAAGGGGTTTTTTGTCAAAATATATTTATATAAATTCATTATGCTGTGTGTGTGTATCGGGTGGTGGTGGTTAACCATCCAAAGTCATTATTTTTTTTGTTATCAAGTCTGTCTGGCTGTATTTGTAATTTGTAATTTGTCTGAATAATGAATGAATGAAAAAAGGAAGGAAAATGAGTGAAAATTTGTTTGTTAAAATTACAATTTAAAAAAAATTACTTAATTAAATAATAATAATTATCAATTTTTAAAAACAAAATGTAGTCAAGTTTGTCAAAAGAAAAATTTGTAATTTTTTTTGGTCATTATAAATTCTTGTTGGAAATTGTCATCCAATAGATGGCGTTGCATGCAGAATATTTTTTACATTTTTTTCAAGATGGAATTTGTCTGTTTGTTTTCATTATGGTTTGGTGTGAACAGAATAATAGTGTGGTGACATCAAAACAATTTTTTTTTAGAAATCAGAATTTTGTTGTTGTAGAGACGACTAGAAAGCAAAAAAAAAACAAACAAAAAATTGCCAAGTTTTTCTTTTTTGAAAATGTAAAATCAAACAGAATTTTTTTTTGTTTTGTTTTGTGGTGGTGGTGATGATGATAAAATTGGAATTCAAGTGGACATTTATAATTTTCTTTTTTCGGTTATTCATCGTTAACGAAGAATCATAACAATACAGCATCAAAAAGGTGGGCGCGAATAACAAGTTTATGTAAGAAATGAAAAAAAAAATCAAATCGGAAGTCTTCTATCCCAAAATACGTATATATATAGAGAGAGAGAATAAGAGAGATTTGTGCATTATACATATGAAGAGAGAATTTTTTTTGTTTTGTTTTCGATATCAAAATTGGCATATTTTTTTCAATAATGTTTTTTTTTATATATATAAAGAATGATAAAGATGATGATGTTACATCCAAATTCGATGTCATCAATGATTCTATAGTGTGTTTGTATCAATTTCTCCTTTTTTTTCGGTCAATATCTTTTTTTTTCTCCTGTTACGATAAAATAAAAGTGACTATCACATCTTTTTTTTTGTTTTGTTTTGTTTTGTTTGTTTGTTATAAAGATAAAAAATAGAGAATGAAATTTAATGATGGATGATCATGATAATGATGATGAAACACTTACAAATATAGAAATACAGAAATAGATATTATTTGTTGTTGTTGTTGTTTTGGTTTATGCGGCGGCGGCGGTGGCTATTGATGAATAACGGTGATGATGATGATTGGTGGTATAAAAACAATATGATAATAATACACACACACATACAAAGAGAGACATTATTCTTGAATTTTTGGACAAATATTTGCACCAAACACACGCACACACAAGAAAAAAAAATGATGATAATGAGATCCAGCAAATGTATTTTGTTTTTTTTTCAATTTTCTTCATATCCATTTTGCGACTAGAATTTCAAAAAAAACAACAAGAATTAAAAGTCAAATTTTACGTTTTTGAATTTTCAACATACAATTAATGATGATAAATGTTAGCGGTTCGTATGGTCACATGTTATTTTTGTTTGATAAAATCATCATTATGTTGCTGTTGTTGTAACCGTTGTTTTCGATGCTCTATTACGTTGATTATTATTGTAACGATATTTTTGTCCATTATTTGTTGTTGTTGATAATTGTTGTTGTTGTTGCTGTCCATTATTGATTGAAGCCGAAGCGGCATACATACCGGATGTTGTACCGCTAAACAATGATAAACGGCTTAATGGTGATGCAAAATTTCCATATGGTGTTGTTAGAAAATGATCATTTGGATCATTATTGTGACCATCACCACCACCACCACTATTATTATTATTATTGGCAACATTGTTTGATGAAGATTTTTGGCTTAAATTAGTTGGAAGCCAACTAGATACTGCGGCTGCTGCTGCTGTTGATGATGATGATAAATGTGCAGCTAATGGATTATTTACAATTGTAGCCGCCGCTTGACCAGTAGCTTGATTTAAAGATGATGATGATGAATGATGAATTGTACGTGCAGCAGCAGATGATGATGATAATGATGATCCTGAATTTACACGAGTTGTTGACATCATTGTTGGATAGATTATTGTTGAACCGGTTTGTTGTTGTTTACCGATTTCGAAATTTTTTTGATTGTTCCGACCTAGCAATCAAACAATGGATGGAATATGGAATTTGTGCCATCAACGGCTGTTGGTGAAACTCACTGGAAAGATGATTTCTTGCATTCAATAAATTGGAATGATGTGATGATGCTGCGGCAGCTGCAGCAGCTGCCGCTGCTGCTGCTGATGGTATATCGCTTAATGGTGATGATGATGAACCACCATCATCATCCGTTATGGATGATGATCGTGATTGTGATCCATTTGCTCTTGAATTATGACCACCTGTATTATTATTATTATTATTTGGATTTCCAGCAGCAGCAGCTACAGCACCAATGCCAAGATCAAGTACAGAATTTGGTCCATATGCAGCGGCTGCTTGCATTAATGATGCTGATGAAACACGTTCAACCGTATGATGACCACCACCACCACCACTATGTTGATGACCATTAACAGCAGCAACCATAGCTGCTGGATTTGGTGGATTATTTGGATGATTAGCTAATGTATTACGTCGGCTACTTGTACTACGTTTCTGTGATGGAAATGTTCCAGCATGACGTTGCATATGTGTTTTAAGATTACCTAAAATTTCAATTAAAATCAAAAAATCATAAATTTATTTCAACAACAACAAAAATAAAAAAATCATACCTTTTTGTGAAAAAGTTTTTGCACAAACAGGACAGGTAAATGGTTTTTCTTTTGTATGTACGGATCTTATGTGCGTTTTTAGATTACCTGAAAAAAATGTTTTGTTTTTGTTTTGTTTAAATTCAAAAAACTATTCTAAATTCTAAATATGAAAAGAAAAATCATACCTTTTTGTGAAAAACGTTTATTACATAATTCACAAAGAAAATCTTTATCCGATTGATTTTGATGTTGCTGTTGTTGTTGTTGTTGCGATTGATGATGATGCTGCTGCTGTTGTTGTTGTTGTTGATGATGATGATTATGATGTTGTTGTTGTTGTGATGTTTGATGATGAGATTGTTGTTGTTGCATATGTTGGGCATGATGATGTTGTTGTTGTTGTTGTTGTTGATGTGCAGCCATTTGTTGACCACCATTTGTATTCGCATTATTCATATGATGTGAATGATGATGATGTGTACTTTTAGTACCATAAACTGCTTGTAAATGTTCAGATGATGAACCACCAGTAGAATTTTGATTATTTTGATTATTACCGGTTGTTGTTGTTGATGATGTTCCATTTGATGTTGTTGTTGTTGTTGTACCATTACTACCAGGTAAATTTCTAACACCAAATAATGAACGCATTGGATCAGCAAATGCTGCTGATAATAAACCACCATAATTTGTTGACATCATATTTGCAACTGCTTGATCATAACAGCTACTTGAATTAAATGATCCCATATTAATTGTATAATTATCACTATTATTATTATTATTATTTGTTGTTGTTGTTGCTATTATTCGATTGTTCGATGTAGAATAATTTTGTATTTGTAATTGTTGTTGTGGATGTTGTTGTTGTAATTGTAATTGTATTTGTTGTGGTTGTTGTTGTAATTGAAATTGATTTGCTGTTGTATTTGTCGGTAAACCAATAATTATATATTGATTTTGATTATTATTATTATTATTAGTAATCATTAAATTATTGGCTGTTGTTGTTGGAATAGTAGCAAAAGTTTTTGACATAATTTTTAAATTTATTTTGATGGATATCAATTACCGGTTACACAAACACATTACACTTAATGATGGAAAATTCTTTTTTTAAAAAGAAAAACTTTTTACGGATTTTTGATGAAGAATTTCGGTGTTTTTTTTTCGTTGTAAATTGATTCACAAACACCTATAGCACAAACACATCAAAAAATAGAAATATTTCAGAATCGATTTAGGTGAATGTAGGAGATTCAGGAGAATATTTTTTTTTCTACGACAACGACAATCAAAATGGTATGAATTCTGTGAATGAAAATAAGAAACCAAAAAAAGTTTTAGAAACCAAAAAAAAATCAAATGTTTTTTTTAAAAAAAATACAAAGATTCACTGTATTTGTTGTTGGACAAAAAAAAGGCCAGAACAAGAACAAGTCTAGCCAAATCTGATGTAATAATTTTTTTTCTTCTCTCTTTTTTTTTCTGCCAACCACATTTAGAATCAGAATAAAACAAAAAAAAAACAAGAAAAAAAAAGAGAAAAAAAGGAAGAATCCGAAATGATGATGACTGCTAGTGTAAGTGTGTGTGTGTGTGTTATACACACAAAAACATGAACAACAAAAATAATAACCGAAAAAAAAGTAGAGAAAAAAAAAATTGATGGAAATATCCGTCGGGTTTTGTTTTGTTTGTTTGGTTTGGCGGGTAAAATGAATGAGAAAAGGAATGTTTGTGTGTTAGATTCAGGGTAGTGGTATAGAAAATAAGTGGTTAGTGGTGATGAGTGATGAATCTACCACTACTATATTCTTTTTTTAGTGATGTGGAAAATTCAATACACACACATCATCATCATCATCAAACAAGCAAAAAAAAAACCTAGCCAGGAAAGAAAACAAAACAAAACAAAAAACAAAAATCCAACAACCAAAATGAAAACAAAAAACAAACCAAAATGAAATGAAAAAAAAACGAAACGAAGAAAAATCGACGAACCAAAACCAAAAAATGAATGAATGAATGAAGAGAGAGAAAAAACGAACGAACGAAAGAATCGACCAACCAAACAGAATTCAGGCAAGCTAACGACAGAATTGGCAAAAAGAAAAAAAAGACACGAAAAAAACACGCCCAAATGTTGTTGTTGTTGTTATTATTATTATTATTAGTATTCCGGCATACAACAAAAAAAAGAAAAAGAAAAAAGAAGAAAAAAAAATCCCAAAATGTGATAGAATAATAATAAAAAACTATATCGTTCTGCTGCTGCTGCTGCCATCGTTGTTGTTGTTGCTGTTCATCATCGCCCGATTCTTTTAAAAGAATAATAACATTGATGATGATGATGATGATAGCGTCGACGCTAGGACATACACAGAATTTTGGAATTGAATTTAAACGAGAGAAAAAAAAACAAAACAGAAAAAAAAACAGGAAAAAAACAAATAGATAGCGAGAGAGAGAGAGAGAGAGAGAGAGAGAGAGAGAGAGAGAATGGGGGGGATAATATGGAAAGATGTTGGGCGGCGGGGGTGGAAGCAAGCAAACAAAAAAAACGAAAGAAAAAAGAAAAAAATTCATTGTTTATAGGATTCTATTATTATTATTATTATAGTGTTGTTCCTGAAACAAAAACAACAACAAAAAACAAAAAAGAAAAAAAAAACATTGACGGCGGCAATGATGATGATCTTGGTTGTTTCGTTTATTATTTTTCATTGTTGTTGTTGTTTGGGTAAAAACAAAAACATATATTCCGGGTGGATATTTGTTGTTGTTGTTAATTTGAATATTAAAAAAAAGAAGAAACAAAAAATTGATCGTGTGGTTGGTTTTATTTAGGATTATCATTATCTAAACAACAAAAAAAAAATCAAAATGAAAACGATGATAATAAAGCCATCTTTCAATTCAACTGGGTATATATAGAAATTGTTTTTTACCTATCTTTTTTTTTGTTTGGAAAATTTCTATTAGAATTTAAGGAAAGAAAATTGAAAAAATAAATATTTATTCTTGATTCTGTTGAAATAGTCTCTTTCGCCTATTTCGATTCAATTTTGGAATTTTGTTTTTGTTTTTTTAACCAAAACAAAAACAAATATGCGAAAAGCCCATTGGCATCGATTTTTTCTGTTGTTGTTGTTGTTTCAACAACAACAAAAAAAAAAGAAAATTTAACCGAAAAAACGAAAAATCCAAACATGAACCACCAACCAAGAATATATTATTCGAACGAATAAATTGAGAAAAGAAAAAAAACGACAGACTTTTTGTTGTTGTTGTTGTATTTATTGTTAGATAACAACAACAACAAAAAGAAAAAGAAAAAGAAATTCTGACAACCAAAAAAAAAAGAAAGAAGAAAAAAGAAATATACTCACAACACAGAACAAAAGAAAGAGAAAAAAAAAGAAAAAGAAAAAACGACGAAAGAATCTACAGAATCAAGCCCAAACAACATACAGACAGACAGAATAATAATAATGAAAAGCAAAAAAAAAAACACTATTCCATGATTCTAGTCGACCGATTCGGGAGCGAAAACCCGAAAAAAAAATAAAAACCCGAAAAGAAAAAAAGAAAAAAAAAAGGAAATTTGGCGAAAATCGGATTTTTTTTCTCGTTCATTTTTTACAGAATTCTTTCTTTTTGCTTTTTTTCCACCATCATTCGTTCAATGTTTCATTTTTTTTTCTTCATCATCATTTCAATGAAAAAACACAGTTTGGTTCGGTTGGTTTGGTTGAAATAGCTACTGCAAATGCTTTTTTTCATTTTACTTTTTTCATTCCATCCCAAAAGAATTTCAGCAGGAAAAATTCTTTGAAGAAACGAAAGACCCAAGCAACAAAAATTGTCAACAGAGTTTTTCTCCTTTATTTCTAATTTAAAAAAAAAAGAAATTAAATTCAATAAAAGAGGAAGAAATATTCTTTGTTAAAGGAATCAATGGCGGAAATTAAAAACGAAACAAAATTCCCCAAAGAATCATATATTCGAAATGAGCATGTATTCTGTGTCATGTCATTTATGAATTTATCATTCGAATGTTTTCGATTCGAAAAAAAAACTTCAAACATCTTTATCCATCGGGCAGTGAAGAAAAACAAATTCCAAAAAAAAGGCCGATCACCACAATGTTTTAAATGAAATTTAATATCGGTAACAGAAACAACTATTTAAACATTGTCTGTTTAAATAGTTTTTAAATACGAAAATACCGTACGACCAAACCGACCGATCAAATTGAGAACGGAATCGAATGAGAATTTGGGCAACATTTTTTGCTTCTTTCCTCTCTCTCTACATGGCTGAAACAAAAAGAATTTAAAAAATTCTTATTGCCGCATTATTTTCTCATTTTGTTTTTGTTTGCATCCCAAACATGAGCAACAACAACAGCACAAAAAGCATCTTTAGGGATTCAACAACAGAAATAATAAAAACGAAACAAAAAAACAAAAAAATTCTTGTCGGCCATCATCATCATGGTTGATGGCATTTTCTTTGGACAAACAGAGAAAGAAAAAACTATTAAATTCTTTTGGTTGAAAAACATCAATTCTGTATGTATATTCTTGGTTTTCTGGATTCTGGTTTAGTTTCTCTATCTGTGTGTTTGCTAAACGAAAATTGAAAAAAATGGATTCTATTTCAATTTTTTCGTTTTTTTTTCAGAGAAAAAAAATCAATCAAAGGTGATTAACCCTTTTACATCATCATCATCATCATAATGAATTTTTTTGCTTGATTTTTATCACCCTGGATTTAAAAAAATAAAGGTGGATGCATTTTACCTGAATTTTATTTTTCAATTTCAAAACATCAATTTTTTCATCAAAAAAAATCAACTATTCTAACCATAACAGGTCAGTCAGTCAGTCAATCCAAATAGTCAAAATGGTCAATGGACTTTTTATTCCACATATATTTTCAATCATCATTTTTGGAGAAAAAAACCAACTAAAATAAACATTTTTCATGATCAAAATCATCATCATTTTGGTTCTTTCTACACAGCATCATCATCATTTACTTTCAGCCAGGCCATCATCATCATCATCATAAGCATCACTAATCCAAAGAGCGAAAGAAAAAAAAGAGAACACTACATACACACATCACATATATATGTGTTTTGCAAACCAGAATCATATTCATCATCATCATCATATAACCGAGAAGAAGAAAAAAAAACGACCACGATTTTTTTTTCATATGAAAAAAAACATCCAAAAAGAAAAAAAAATGATGTTCGTTTTGTATAGTTTGAGAATAGAGCAATAATCGAATGTTTTAAAGAAGGAGGAGAATGAGAAGGGAGGAGGATGAAAAAAATGGGCAGTACCAACGAAAAAAAAACAAGCTTTCACGCATACACCACTAATATTTTCACCATATTTTTTTCTATCTTTTTTTTTTGCTCTGAAAATAGATGTTATGTAATGTAATATTTTTTTTTTTTACTTAACACGGCTTGTTTATCTGGGCTAGCTTTCCCTATTTTTTTTCGTTTTTTTCATCATCATCAAAAACATTTTTCATTTCTTTCTCACTGCTGCTGTTTGGGATTCCAGGCGAAAAAAATAAAAATAAAAATAAATTTGATGCGGCCAGGCGAAACATATTTAAAAAAAAAACGACAACAACCTTCATAGGAAATATGGATGGATGCTATATTTGTTTTTCACTACTTTTGGTCAAAAAAAATTGCTTTTTTGGCTGTAAATAAGGGGAAAAAACATTCTGAGATTGATACGGATATTGATCGATTCGAAATTCTCGAATGAAACCAATTCGAACACAGAAACTAAACTTACCAAATGGATGCTTATTCGTTGAGAAATTGAATTTTCGTCAAATTTTAGATGAAAAAAAAACATAAACAAAACACGAGAAAAATGTTTAATTTAAAAAGATTTTAGTTTCACTGATCAATCTGATGATGATGATGATGATAAAGATGATAACTTCAAAAGTTTGTTGATTAACCGATGTTTTATATTTGTCGATAACACACACCAAACAAACAAACAAACCACACATGGTAATCATTAAGATTCTGATAAGATTCTTTTAATCATGTTGTTTTCGGAAGGTAAATTGTTTTCAATCTTTTAGGAAAGAAAAATCCGATGAAGATGGACATCACACAGACAGTGAAGAAGAATGTTTCGAATGTTTTTTTTTATTCGTAAAACTCGAATAACAACCTTTTTCAACAAAAAAAAGAAGGGGGGAATTATTCTTAGTAACCAGAAGAAACAAAAAAAAACAGGATAAAATTCGGGTTTTTGGTTGTTTTTCTTTCTTTTTTTTCTTTTCTTTTCTCGGTCGATCGATGATAATGATGATGATGTGAATTTTTTTTTCTTTTGCGGATACAAAAACAAAAACAACAACAAAAAACTGGGAGTGAGCAACAAAAAAAACGAGCAAGTTACGAGGGTGAGTCGAATACGAACAAAAAGTAGTGGTCAAGAAAATAGTTGCAACGAAAAAAAAAAGAAAAGAATGGATAAAACTTGCTCAAGTTGTTTTCGATGATGATCGGTGATGATGATGAATCCTTGTTTTTTTTCGTTACTCAAAATAAATGAATGAAAGAATAGCCAACATTGAATAATATCTTCTTTGGCAGTTTTCTCTCTCTCCCGCACTGTTTTTGTTTTGTTTTTTTGGGTTGTAAAAAATAATAAACAACAGCAGCCGCGTGTCAAAATGTGTAGTGTTGTTTTTTTTACTTTTGAAGAAAAAAAAAGATTTTTGGTTTGGCTTGTTTGGTTGCTTGGCTTGTTTATTTTCGTTGTAAACCGAGATGTATATTGAGAGGGGAGGGAGGAAAAAAAGGGGAGGAGAATTTGAACCATTAGAAAAAAAAGGCAGACGTTCAAAGAAAAAGTGTATGAAAAAAAATTATGGTATTAGTAGTAGTGGTTTTGATTAGAATAAGAAAAGCGAATGGCATAATCAAGTAGTGGTAGACTCAAAAGAATAAAAAATGGGCGTATTTTGCAACAAAAAGGTTGTATTCGGCGAGGCGAGAGGGGGGAGTAAAAGAAAAAACAATTTTTTTTCTCATCAAATTTTTTTTTTGCTTGTTTTTTTGGTGTGATTTTTTTTTGAATGAAAAAAAAATTGAAAATTAAAAAAAAATGGGAGGGAGGCAGCGAAAAACACGGAATGAATGAATGAAGGGGGAGGGTGGAAAGAAAAATGATTTTCGTTCGCTGTCTTTCAATAAATGTGGAATGTTTTTGATGTTCTGGAATAAAAAACTAATAAGAAGAACGATGCTTGTCTGTTGTCATCGATGAATTGGATGCGGCTTGTTTATTGGATTGATTTCTCCAGAGCGGAATTCAAAACAAAAAAAAAAATCCAGGTGTAATATTTTCTTCACTCCAAGCGACAACAGTATTATTACGAAAACAAAACAACCCCCCAGAAAACTAAACTAATAATACAGGGGGGACAGGAATTTCTACTTTTGTTTCAGTTTTTTTCTAATTTAATTTTTTTTTTGTATAAGCGTGGGTGGCCCATGTTTGTTTTGTTTTGTTTCAAAATAATAATAATTCCATCATCATCATCATCATCATCATGAGAACGGAATCCAACAGAATTTTAGTTTGTTTTTGGTCGTTTCCGAATGATGATGATGATGGGTTAGAATACCAAATACAGAATTCCATAATAAATGTGACTGAAGAATCCATAGAAGAATCCAATAACGAAATGTCCAGAATTCTCTCTCCAGCTGCTAGAATCCAAAGGTAGAATCCATTAAAATTAGGGTAGTTTAATCAAAAAACCTGAAACAGCTATCGCCATCTATCGTTTTGGATTTGAATTTGGATTCTTCTTTTTTTTTGAATAAGAATGGATCATTCATTAAATCTGTGTTTATTCTAATTTTCACCAATATAGCAGAACAGTGTGGTAGTGGCATAGAAAAAAGTGAAGGAAATGTTATATATGTGATGGGCGACATGGTCGATTCCAAAAACACATCAAAACATTGGAAGAAAAAAAACAAAAACAGTTTTTAGATTTCGAATAGTATCATCTTTTGGTGGATTGTGGTGTGTGTGTGGGTTTTGCTTTGTTTTGCTTAATATTTGTTGTCAAAAAAATCGGTTTTTTCTGGGGGAAAATTCAACCAAATTCGTTCAAAACATGGTTGTTTGATCTTTTTTTTTTGATGAGCGGCCAAAGAATCTATTATGCATTATCGATTATGGAAGAAAATTTTCAATTAAAAAAAAATTTGACATTTGTCGTCATCATCATCGTAGCCCAACTATAAACAAAACCCGATAAATAATTACCTTGACAACCACCAACCACCACCAGTGTGATACTGGGGGCAAAAAAACAAACAACAACAACACAATCACCGCATTGCCGTAATATTCTTTTTGGCTACCTGGCTGACTTTTTCTTTCTTTCATTCTTTTCCTTTAACTTTATCTTTGATTTGAGGAAAGAATTCGTACTTGGTTTTGTTCGAATCGAAATCGAATCATGTCAATCAATTATGAATATTGTTATAAACATCATATACGATCAAAAAATAATAATTTATCTAATCAATATGAACCACCGAATCATTTAAATCATCAAAATCATGATGAATTTCATCAACATAATCAATCTATGAATGGTAACACCGCCGATGATAATATCGTTGATGATACTATGGATAATATTGAACGGCGAAGATCATCACTGACATTACCATCATCGACTACATCGATGGTTGATGGTGATCAACAACATTGTGCCATCGATGTTCATCAACCAAATGACCATTGTCCAACGATAACAACAACAACAACAACAAATATGGTCAGATCGAAAACATTCCATCCATCATCAAGTGATATTATTATAAATAATACGAATAATGAAAAGAAATCCAAATTACAACGTTTTAAAAAACGTCTTTCATCACATTTTGAATGTTTAAATAATTTATTATTATCAAATAATAATAATGATAATAATAGCCTTAATAATATTGATTATTATCAACAACAATATGGTCGTCAACAAATTTCATCCGAATTTAGTGATAATAATAAGGTATGCTAATGGTGTCTATTTTCGAAGATTTTTTCTAACTTAAAACTTTTCTAACTTTCTTTTTTTCTCACTAACAGAATAATGTTGAAATAATAAAATTTACAACATTGGATGATGTTGTTTTGGAACATAATCATCATCATTCAAATCAACAGCAGCAGTTGCATATAAAACAACAACAACAACATTATGAACATAATCATCCTATTGATAATGATGATTATGATGATGGTGATGATATTGATGGTGATAATGGTGATAATGATCAACAACAACAAAATGATAATTGTCATAGTAGTACAATGATTGTTGAACATAATCATAATCATGTTTTTGGTGATAAAACATCATTTGGACCAATACCTAAACCACCACCAAGATCAACATCAATTTATCATTTACAACAATTACAACAACAACAACACCAACAACGTTTAACAATACCGGATCATTTAGAAACATTATTAGAACATTCAAGTTTAAATGATGATCAACAACCAAAACAACAACAACAACAACAATCATTATCAACAACAACAACAACAAATCTATTTAAACAAGTTATTATGAGAGATAAAACAAATAAAATGAATAAAATTGGTTTTCGACGGCCAAAATCAGATATTTATGATTTACATAGTCATCATCAGCAACAACAATTGGAACATAATCATCCAATTGATCCATCATTGATGGATCAACAACAATCAATGGAACAACAACAACAGAATAATAATAATAATTCGTTGGATCATCATGGTAGTGCTAGACCTGTATCAATGTATTTTGGCGGTGAACATAATCATATTGATCGTCCAGTAAAACATTCAATATCAAGATTTAGTGCTTATGAAATATCGGTATGTTTGAATGGTTTTTGAATGGTTTTTTTGATTCATTTCATTTCATTTCATTTCATGTTTTTCTGTTTTTTATTATTTTTTACAGTGTTCAAATGGTTTTGGTCGTTTAGATTCATATCTAAAATTAGATCAACTTGGTGAAGGATCATATGCAACTGTTTATAAAGGTTTTAGTAATGTTTTAAATCGTGTGGTTGCACTGAAAGAAATTCGTTTACAAGCCGAAGAAGGTGCACCATTCACTGCAATACGTGAAGCATCATTATTACGTGGTTTAAAACATGCAAATATTGTTACATTACATGATATTGTACATACCAGGCAAACATTAATATTAGTATTTGAATATGTTGATACGGATCTAAGTCAATATTTGGAACGTCATCCAGATGGTTTAAATCCAAAAAATGTTCGTCTTTTTATGTTTCAATTATTACGTGGTCTTTCATATTGTCATGAACGTCGTATTTTACATCGTGATCTTAAACCACAGGTAAACCTGATTTTGTTGATTGATTGTGATTTGATTTCATTTGAAATTTTTGCCCTTTTTTAATAAATAGAATCTATTAATATCGGAACAAGGTGAATTAAAATTAGCTGATTTTGGTTTAGCACGTGCCAAATCAATACCATCACATACTTATTCAAATGAAGTTGTTACGTTATGGTATCGACCACCAGATGTATTACTTGGTTCAAGAAATTATTCAACATCATTAGATATATGGGGTGTTGGTTGTATATTTATTGAAATGATTTGTGGTACACCTGCATTTCCAGGTGTACGTGATCCAACTGATCAATTGGATAAAATATTTCGTGTATTTGGTACACCTTCAAAATCATATTGGGAAACATATCAATCGATTATTACGTTTAATTGTTGTAAGTTTTTTTTTATTAATTGATTGATTTTTTTTCGGGTCAAAAAAAAACTTTTCAATTATCGTCGTTATCATTTACAGTGAAAAATACCTGCTATCAATCACAACAATTAGGACGTTGTTTTCCAAAATTATTATCAATAACAAATGCTGAAACATTAGCTAGAAAATGTTTATCATTAGAACCAAGAGAACGGATTGCATCGAAAGATGCAATGAAACATCAATTTTTTTCTGAATTACCAGCCAAATTATATCAATTACCTGATCGTAAGTAATGATAATGTTGATGATGCAATTAATTTTGATTTCGTTTTCATTTTCAATTTTCATTTAAAAGATGTACCTGTGATCTATGTACCCGGTTGTTCATTAATACAGGAAAATCATAATTTTCCATTAAGTGTTATAAAAATTGCATCCAAAATGAAAGGCGGTGTTGGTGGTGGTGGAACTAGTGGTGGTGGTAAAATGTTCAATAACCACTGAAAAATCAAAAAATGAAAACAAAATAAATAACCAATCTGGTCAGATAAAATACTTATTAATAACTTAATAATAATAATTTTTTTCATTAAAAAATTTTATTAATTTTTTTTACTACTAATTATGCAATTGTGAATTAATAAAAAAAATTTTTTTTTACAAATTTCGTAACATCCATTTTGGGTTATAAAGTGTTAATTTGTAACGATTTTTTGTTGTTGTTGTTTAACACTTGATCGTCATTGTTTTTAATTATAATAAAAGTATCAATAAGTTCCAGAAACCAGAACCGAAAACAAAACGATTCGCACTTTGGATGAAACTTTGTTTTCTGTTTTTCTGAAGTCGGTTATCGATTTTTTTCCAATGGATTTAACCCGGTGAATGGACTTCGATAACATCAACAACAACGAAACACTTGAAAACAATTGATTTTTTTTTCTGGGGGAAAAATTCAAGAATCGAGCGAAAGAGGAAATTCTGCCATTCTAGATTCGATATCGACAATCAACGACATTCAATTGAATCGATTTGTTTGAATTTGAAATTTTCTTCTTTTTTCTTTTTCTTTTTGTGCCACTGATTCATTGAATCAAAGAATCTTTTCCAGAAAGTTTTTTTTTCGTCTTATGGCTCCCACCTTTTTGTTGTTGTTGTTGTTGTCATCTGTAAGCGAAAAGAAATAGAAATAGAAACCGTGATAAGAATTTTCAATTTGATTTGAAAATGGTGAATGAATGAAAGAATCACTTACGTTTTTTCTTTTCTTTTCTTTTGATTAATTTTTTTTTCTATTTTCAAAACAAATTCTTTCCGTATTTATTTTGCCCGTTGTTTTCGATTTTTTTGCATTCGAAGAGTTCAATTTTTGCCAAAATTTGAAGAATGTTCCCCCCCAAAAAAAATGAAGAAAATCTTTTTCAAGATAAGAATTTCTATTTCTGTTTGTTTTGTTTTGAAGCGGAAACTATATTCACCCAAAAAAAACATGTGCTCACTAACAATCAAACCAATAAACCGGGAAAAGAATTTAATGCCAGTGTGAATATAGCCGCCGAAATGATGACAACAGAAAAATTTGCTCCAGGGTTTCTAATTGCAACAAACAAACATCTGCTGCCGATAAAAAAAAATGACAATTTTTTTGAATTTGAATTTTATTGGCCCACAAAAAAAAAGTGATTCGAATTGAATTGAAATGAAATGAATTTTACTGAGATGAAAATGCGATGAAAATTAAATAAATTTCAAACAGACAAACAAACAACGACGAAGGCCTGTCAACATTCATTTTATAAAATCGATGTTTTTTTTTCTTTACGATAATCGATTGTGTTAGTGATGGGCGAATTTCGAATGTAATGTATTTTTTTTAGGAATATTTTTCTGGTTTCTGGATCTGAAAAAAAATGAGAAAAAAGAAAATTCTGTTTATCAGAAAGATTTGTCAACAACAATCAATATCAATATCGACAACAACAACAACAACAACATCAGAAAAAAGCGAATGACAAAATCATTCAACCAAAATAACAAGGTGTTTGAATGAATGAATGGATTCTGTGTCAGTGTCTGTATCGGTCCAACCGACCGATTCTTTATTCTGTACTTTATGATTCTGGAATTAAAATAGACAACAGAAAAAAAATATTGACTTTGACTTTCGATTTTTTTTTTGATTCTTGATTCTTGATTCTTCATTTTTTTTTTTTTTTTTTTTAAAAATTTTTTTTTTGATTTAATGGATCAAGGGTTTAAGTTTTTTTGTTTTTTTTTTTTTTTTTTTTTTTTTTTTTTTTTTTTTTTTTTGTAAAAAATATGTTCTGTGATTGAATGGATCAAGTGTTTAAGTTTGTTTGTTTGTTTTTCTTTTCTTCCATGTAGGTGTTGTACTTTCGTGTGCACACATCGATCCATAAAACTTTTCGGCAAAAAGAGGGGGTAGGGCGATAGAATATATTCTGTTAAAACCCTCCCCCATTTCCCACTTTTTTAAAATAAAGAATCATTGTTTTTCCTCTACTTATCCCCCCTGCGAAAAAAATACAGAATTTTGAAAAAATTCTCAGTGTGTTTGCTATGTAAACACACACACACACACACTGAGAGAATTGAATTCTTTCTTTTGTTTTCATCTTTAACCCAGGATGATGATGACGGTAGCTTGAAATTTTGAATTTTGAAATTGATCCAGAAATTCTGTTCAAATTGAAAAAAAACTAATTAATTTTCGGTTGAAAATTTCATTTTTTTAAAAAGAAAAAATTAAAAAAAGATAAGATTTTTTTTTTGACAGAATTAAACCAGAATCATATCTTTTTTTTTGATTTCTTAGATCCCTTTTGGGTGTATATAGCTTTTCTGTAATGATGATGATGATGACATTATTTTTTTGGCGCTCAAAACATGATGAATCCAATTGAATCCAATAACTAAATCAAACCAAACCATTTATGAATGGAACAAACAGGCAAAAAAACAAAAATCAAAGAAGAATTGAATTGATAAATGTGAGAACAATCGAAAAAGAAGAGTGAGTGAGAGAGAGAGAGAGAGAAAGAAATCAAATCAAACCAATTTGTTTTGAGCCAAAATTTTCCATTATCCAATTTGAAATTGGAACCATGAATCAATTCGGGGTGCTGATATACACACTGTCATCATTATCATCATCAGTTTTCATTTACTTATCCATTTTCGCGTGAATTCAGAGCAAGAGAGAGAGCGAGAGAGAGAGAAATAATAATAATAATTTTGTGGTTTCAGTCACAGAAAAAAAGCAAACATTCTTCTTCTTATCATCATCATCATTATTATTTTTCCTTACTTAGTGTGTGTTTTTTTCCAGGACAAATGAAGAGGAAAAAATCAATTTACACATCATTATGGTTGGATCTTTTTTTTCTGGTTGACACAGTCAAAAGTGTGTTTTTTCCTTTCCTTTTTTCTCTATTTTCATATTCATTGATTTTGAAACGAACAGAATTAAAAATGAAGAACAAAAAAATAAAATTCGCTTTGATCGAAATAATCAATGATTTTGACAAGTGAGTGGAAATAGTGGCGGTGGTTGTTTTTAGAGGAATCATTAATGAATTTTTTTTTCGGTGGGGGGAGAAAATGAAGAATTTAAAAGAAAAAAAAATTTTCCAGAAATTAAAATTCTGGAAAAAAATTTTTCTTTCCGAAACAAAACCAATTTGTCGAAATAGCCGCTCAACAACAAAAATTGCGTTGTTGTTGTTGCTGTTGAACTGATTGGAATTTATCGATTTTTTTTCTCTATTTTCTTCCTTCTTCGATCGATTGAAAAAAATCGATAAATTTATTGATTTTATTGAAAAAAAACAGCAAAACACAACCGACACTTATGCATAAGGAATTTAGTTTCAGTTGAGTTTCATCAACAGAATATTCTGGATACGAAATTCTGTTTCGAATTTTTCTCGTTAGAATTCAACCACCCACACACACACACATAGAAACACAGAATAATCAATCAATCCGAATCAAATTAAAGCAAAAATAACAAAAATTTCTTTCGAAAAAACAAAAAACAGGAAAAAATATTTCGGTCATCATTATCCTGTGAGAAGAATCACACTTTTCTTGTTTTGTTTCTCGAATCAACCAAAAAAGTGTGAAATTGAAAATTTCATTCAAAAAAAACATGTTTTTATAACCCTTTTTTTGTTGTTGTTCAATGTCAAATTCTCCAATTCGCTAATTCTACATTCTCGAATTCGTCAGAAACAAAAATAATTTTGCTTCATTCAATTTGCGAGAATAATCATCATCAATTAACAGAATTTTTTATTGCTTTAAAATTTTTTTTTTCCAAATTCTGTAATTCAATTCTGTAATTTGGATTCTGTTGGATTCCGGTCATCATTGAATGAATGAATGAATGGATGGCAATAAAAGTTGTAAAAGGAAAAAATAGAAAAAATTTCATCAAAATAATAATAAAATAATAAAAATTCAACATTTTCACACGAAAAAAAACATCACCAAAACAAAAACGCACAATTCTCACTGGTATACAGTATTCATTTCATTTCATCAAAATTCTCTCTCTCTCCGTTCATTTCGTTATTGACATTGAAATTCAAGAAAAAGAAAAACTGACGGCCAATAAAAATCGACTATATACACCCATATGTGTGTCGCTTGTGTGTGATGTGTTCTCAAACATCTAATTCCAAAGAAATTTTCGTTCACATTCCGTTATTAACCGTGCAGCATCGGTAGCAGAAGATCATTATTTTCATTAAAATAATTATCATTCATATGGATGTTGTTTTTTTGTTTGTTTGTTGTTGCTGCGACAAAGATTTTTTTTGGAAATGAACAACAAACGAGAAAAAAAGGTAAGAATAATCAAATAAGGTAGATTTTGGAGATTTTCGGTGATTCTGTTTCTCTATCATTCTCTCTCTGTGTGTGTGTTTCTGCTTCATCTAATTGCATAATTTACAAGCAATGAGAATAGAGACAGATGAAAAACGAGAAGAAATGGAAAAGATAAGGGATGCCTGGATAGAAATCGGGAAAATGGAAAATGAATTTTAATGAAAAAATTATCTTCTATTTTTTTGTTGGCTGCAAATATCGTAGACAAATGATGATCATCTTGATCAAATGCTGATGAAGAAATCTCATTTCATTTCATTTTCGATTTTGATTTCGATTCTGATTCGAAACGAAACGAAAAAGAAGAAAAAAATTCAATTTATTCGCATTACAGCCGGTGTTGTTGTTGTTGTTGTTTCAGAATTAACTACAACAACAACAACAGAATAATTTTCTCGTTTCCTAGACGTTTTTTTTGTTGTAATTTTTTTTTGTTGTTGTTACTTGCTTATTATTTAGCTATAGCTAATCTCATTTACAAACAAACAATTTTTTTTATATCTAGGCCAACGACTTGTGTGTGTGTGTATTGCGAATTATTGTGCGAAATATTTCATTAACATTTTCGTTTAAGTAAAAAGTAAAAGGTCGTTGTCATGCTGTTGATCAGTTTATTATTATCATTTCGTATTACGTCATCAATGAATAATCGATTGTTTGAAACGATAGGTAGTTTCAGATAGTCAGAAAACGACAATTCCGATTTTCGTTTGTCGTTATTATTATTTTACCATGGAAAAAAAATCTAAATAAAAATTCAAAACTAAACTAATGAAAATCCTATTTGTAACAAAGTCTTTTTACAAAAAAAAAGTAACAAGATAAACAACAATAGCAACTAATAATAATAATTTCAATGAATTTAGTTTTTTTTTTGCTTGAAAATTGAAAATTTAAATGAGATGAAAATGAAAATGAAAGGAAAGGAAATTTGGTATTATGTTTTGTCATCAACATAATTATTATGCAAAGATTCTCCGGTTGGTGTTTGTATGTTTGTTTGTTTGTTTGTCGTCATCATTTTTTTTACAGCATCATTCGATTACTTTTTTTTGGTTTGTTATCGGGATTTTGGTCGGTATTTTTTTTTCTTGAAAAAATAAAATGTTTCAAATATGGGATTTT